TTCTTTCACTATTCACTACCTTCTTTAATGAGTTTTCAAGCATCATTTCACTCCCAAAAGGTTCAAAATATGGTTGGGACTGCATTCTGGAAGTCAGGGTAGTAAGACAAAGAAAACACAATTTTTTTCTTGTTGAGTGCGGCCCTTCCAGCCGCTCTAGTGGTCTGGCTCCGCACGTACGGAAATGGCCGTCGCTTGAGCGCACAGGGAGGAGTGGGTTTAGGCAAAAATCTTGGGCGCTCGTGTGGAGCCCGTGGCCGCACGAACGATCTGGGCTCACTCAAGTAGTCCGACAATGGCTCAAAGATGCAAATATTTTCATCCCAAGCCCATGCCCAAATCCAAGTAAACACAATTCAAAAACATGATAACTAAGCATGATACAAGTGTAATTCCTCATTAAACATATCAATCTTTCATCGACAACAATTTCATGTTCTCCATACATAAGTTCAAAATACATATATTCATGAATGATTTTCTCACCAATCTTGTTTATGTGAACCATCTAGGATTTGTTTCATGGATCAATCATAAAAATAAACTCAAATCAAACAATGGTGTAGAGATTAAGGTCCAATTTCATGTCTTTAGCCCTAGTCACCACACAACTCAAAACCATAGCCCAAAATTCCTAATCTCTTCATGATTTCTAGTCAAAAATGAGTTAGAGACAGAGATTGTAAATAAATTTTCATACCTTAACTCAAATCTATGGTTTGCCCCTTGATTCCCTTGAAATCCCTAGCTTTCTCCTCTTCCTCTCTCTCTAACTCACACTTTGGAGCCCTCTTCCACAAATGAAGAACAAAGAGGCTATACATGTACAAATTAACTCAAAAATCTTAATTTATTCATTACGAATCATAATTTTTCAAAATCTCACCAAAGGCTTTAAAAATCATGCTAATCATTGCTATGAAGTCGGTTTTTGTTTATCGTGCCTCTACGGCCTTGAATTTCTATTCAATGTTTCAATTGCAACAGATATTCTTACTTCCAATAGATATTTTTCCAAATTCACATATTTTCCATACTTGAATTTGCAAATTCACATCAAACATCTAATCATATGCATAATTAAACATAGTACGGGTTGGGTTGTCATAGTCGTGATATGTAGGATTGGGAGTTGGACCAATTGATGCATCTTCTGTGTTTTCTATATGGGTTGCACCATGGGGGGGATGGAGTGGATTCTTTGGTGCGGGAGGGTTTGAGATCTAAAGGGGTTTTCTTGGTGTCCTCGTTTTATGGGGCTCTTGTAGGGGGAGATGCTGTGATGTTTCCTTGGAAGAATATTTGGATGGCGGGATCTCTGTCTAAGGTAGCTTTTTTCGTTTGGACTGTTGCCTTGGGCCGTTTTCTGACTATTGATAATTTAATTTGACGGCAGCATATGTTGGTAAATTGGTGTTGTATGTGCTGTAAGGATGTGGAGATGGTGGATCACTTGCTTGTTCATTGTCCAGTTGTGTCTCGGCTTTGGAGTCTAATTGTCGCTTTATTTGGTTTGGTTTGGTTTGGGTGTGGCTGGGGTCGGTGTTGGGGGTGTTTCAAAGTTGGGGTGAGGCGAGGGTGAAGGCTTGGTTACTTGCTTCTCATTGTTTGCTTTGGCTGGTTTGCTTGGAGCATAATAGGTGAGTTTTCCAGAATACATGTCATTCAATTCTTTGGTTAGAAAGTAGGCTTCTTATGGTGTTGTATAGTTGGGTTAAGGGTTTGGTTGATTCTGATATTTTGGCTTTTGTAAATTTTATGGAGGATTTGGTTAGTTTTGTTTAGGCTGTGGTGGATCATTTTCTTTTCCTTGTATTGTTTGCATCACTTTGATGCTTTTCTAATAAAGTTAGATTATTTATCCAAAAAAAAAAGAAAAAGAAAGAGATTACGATCGTAAGAGGAATGCCTGCACAAAACATCTTGCCTTGTGGAGAAACATCCTGAAGTCCTTAGCAAAGATAAATCCTAGATGCATGTTTGTTTATTCAACAGATTCTGCCTCTGTCAGCATGACAGGAAGAAATTTAATCACTTTAGTGAGGTAATTAAAACAGAGGCTGTGGTGGGAAGATTTAATTGAACCTCTTTGTAAGTGCTTGAACAGTAGGAAAAGGTCATGAATTGGTTTGGAACAGTGGGCTTGGTTTGGAACTTAGAACTGGTAAAGGAAAAGAGAGGAAAGGAATGAGAAAGAAAGCCATTTTTGATTTTTCCTTCGTGTTTTCCCTCCTACTTTTACAAACATTTAGATTAATTAACTTCATGAAATGATGAGGTCCAGAATTTTTGAAACTGTAATCACGCTTTCGGTTTCTATTTTCGTTTTTAAAAAGTTGTAAACAGTTTACAAAATTTACTACCACAAAAAGTTGGTTTCACTTGTTTAATTAATTAATTATTTTCATTTCTACCTCTCTCCCGCCTTTTTCGATCATCACTCATCACTAGCATTGGCCACCATGGCCAATGACCTCCTCCACCAACCATCTTCGGCCACCACCAACCACCTTCTATGAACGGTAACCACCTTTGGTCACCACCTTAGGCGGCCAATTGGCGACCATCTTAGTCCGTCGGCCGCCACTTACCACAGCTGACAACCACGTTCGGCCACCACCAACCACCTCTTATTGGTGGCAATCACCTTCGACGGCCAACAACAATCTTCGACCACCGTCTCGCAGCCACTTCTTTCACTTGTTTTCAAAATAGAATTTTGAAATACTTGTGTATCAAACATGTTTTTTATTTTTACTCAAAATAAATATAAACATGTTTAATATTTTCCATAAACTAAAAATAGTAAACTGTAAACGTTACCAAACGGCATCTAAGAAATCATGAAAAAGAGAAGAAGAGTGATATCTAAAAGAAACTAAAAATTTCTCCCAAACTTTTCTTGTATTTTAATTTTCTTGTTTTCCATGGTAACCAAACAAGGATCAATGATTTTATTTTTTTTTCCTTTTCCTTTTCTACCCAAATCTTGTTGATCAAACAAAACAGTAATTACATTGTACTTTTTACTTTAGCTTGGCCTATACTGTGTTTTCATTTTATTTTGGCTTCTCTGTTGAGAAGTTATTCAACTTGGAGTTGCTTGATTAGCTGAACTTTAAGGTCGCACAAAGCTCATGCTAGAAGTTAATTGTAGTGCTTGTGCTATTGAATCTAAAATATAAGATAACTGTACTACTATATATAAAAAGGACAGTCCCATTTTGCTACAGTAAAATGGTTCATACTTTCCACTTCCTATTTTTCCCTTCCTTTTATGCTATGGAGGTTATACAGTAATGGACAATTTCATAAATTAGGGGCAGCTCTTCTATCTTTTACGTTTTCCCCTCCCATTTTAGTCTCACTCAGGCACACAAACAGAGAGCAGAGAGCAGAACTTGTTATGCACATTTTGGTCTCTCACATAAACATGAACAGAGAGGAATCCCTTTCCTCTTCTTTCTCTCTTCTTCCTCTCTTTCTTCAAGGTATTTGGGCAAACTTCACTTTAGCCTTTGTGGTTTGGGCCATGTGCGGTTTACCCCCTTAACGTTTGGAAATGACCACATAACCCCCTTATGATTTGTGGACTGAAGTCCACCGTTAAGCCCATTGACAATTTAATAAAAAGACAAAAATATCCCTGTATTTTCGTCATTTGTTTGGAAGGTAAAGTGCACTTTAACCCCCTATGCTTTCCATGTGCGATTTACTCCCTTGAACTTTGAAAATGATCATATAACCCTTTATGCCTGTCACGCGTTTCACACTTGCTGTTAAGTTGGATGGAATTTTTAACGGTGCACTTCAGTCCACAAATCACGTAGGGTTTATGTGGTTATTTCCAAACGTCTGGGGGTAAAGTGAAGTTTGCCCTATATTTTAGAGGACAGTGTCCTCATGTTCTAACAAAGCAGAATGAACAACAGCTAACAAAACAATTTAAGACATTTGGCTCTCCGGGTTGAGTGTCTTCTAAGTTGTAACTAATAGTTGATTAGTTGATTCAAACGAATGTAAACAATGAAATCTGATATTAGAATGTTTTTAGATATGTTGAAAGATTCATGCTATAGACACTTATATCCGGTGTTTCATTGGTAGCTAATGATCATCGAACTTCAAATTAACTAAAACGTTCACATAGCACTTCCTGATTTTGTTATGTTCCTTCTTTATTTTCATCACACATGGTTTTGTAAGTAACTTTTTCATCTTTCGATAATGACATCTTCTACTAATTTTTTTTTTCTTTTTCTTTTTCCCCCACCCTTACTCATTATTAACATATTTTATTGCTTTTCGTGTTCAATGTGAAATGATGTTTCTTTGATTGTTGATTGTTCTTTCTTCCTTGTTAAGTCTTTTGTTCACTTGTGCAATCTGCATCTCATATATTTTGTGTCAATATGTTGTAGTGCAATTGGATAGTATCAAGTAGTGCCTATCTAAACATCGCAATCTAATTATTGGCTCCTTATTGAAATGTTGATCACCAACTCATCTAAAAAGCTTAAGTTGTTAAGAAATGGGTCCAACACTCTCTCCGCGTGCAACCTACTATGATACCATATTAGATTGTTAATCGACAACTCATCGAAAAGCTTAAGTTGTTAGGAAATAGACCCAACAATGTATATCAAGTTATCCAACTCTACTAGCAAGACGGGGGCACGTGAGGGAGGGTGTTGGATATCTTGATATACATTGTTCGGCGCATTTCCTAACAGCTTAAGGTTTCGGGAAAATTAGTGACTTAACATGGTATCAGAGCTTAGGTTGAGAGAGGTCTTGGGTTCAAGTCTCTTCATTGGCATTTGGTATTTGGTCCTCGTTTGGCTCCTCCTCCTCTTTCTATTTGTCTCTCCACGTGCAAGACGGGGTTGCACATGAGGGATAGTGTTGAATAACTTGGTATACATTGTTGGGTTTACTTCCTAACAGCTTAAGTTTTTGGGGAAAAATGGTGACGTAACATCTCTTATAATTAACTGCAGATATCTGAAATTAAGATGGCAGAAATCCCCGATGTTGACCTCTCTTGTGTAGGAGTTACAAAATATGGAAACTTTATTGTTGAAGTAGTTGATCCAGTTTTCGACTACTTGGAGCTGATGGAGGTGAGGACAATGTGCATTCTTGAAGTTTTAGTGTTTGTTACACTGATCGGAAATTAATTATTATATATCTTTTCTTTTCTATTTTTGATAAGTAAAACATGAACTGTACGTGATTGTGTGCAGAATGTATTTGATTTTTCACTTATCAGAAGTCTTGTTTCACGGTCAGATTTCAGGTATGACATGCATGTACTTTGAGTGGCCATAACTAGCTTTATTTATTGATCAGTTCTTATTTGTTTAGTTTTTCTTCTTTGCTTCCCTCTGCTCTCCTCCCAATATTTATATATATATTTTCCTTTTTCTTTTTTGCAATGCCATCCCCAATATTTTTCAGTAATGTGATTTCTTATGAAAAAAAAAATATATATATATTTTTTATTATAATACACTTTTGGTCCTTAAAGTATGCTCTATATGTCATTTTGGCCCCAACCTTTCAATTCTGTCAATTTGATGCCCAAAATACAAGATGCATCTTTTTTTAGTCGCTGAAGCTAACGCTATCGAAATTAATCCCGGAATTAGCAGTATTTTAGGCATTTTCTTATTAACGATTGAGGCCATTTTGTATATTTTAATCTCTGATTCTGTTATTAATTTTAGATGGCATTAGGTTTGGTGACCAAATAAAGACAAATTTTGTATTTTAGGAACCAAATTGACATAGAGCGCATACTTCAGGGACTGAAATTCGACCCTTGTTTACTGACTTTTTCATAGATATGGGCATGTTAGAAATTTTTTTGATGAACATGTGTTTTTGACAACAAAATGCTTGTTTATATATTTGGGCTGCAGTTTGGATTCCGGGTGGACATGCGGGCAGTGCTTGCATTAGGTAATAACAAAAATTGCGGTGGCCCAAGCCAGGCCTAGAACTAGAACATGAATTCCCAAACCAGCATAATTTATTTATTTATTTTTTCAGAAACCCAAATTTTCCTGTAAAACCTGAAATCTATTTATTAACTGTTTTTATCACATTTTAAATGTGAAAGAAATGGTAGCTGTTGTGGCTTAGATGCCTCTTCATGAATTCAAGGTTATCTTGTAGTCCCATTACAAGACTAGTAATATGTACTTTTTATTTATAAACAATAAAAATAAAGTTACATAACCTAAATCATAGTACAAGATATTTATATTTACAAATGCATTATATATATGTAAAATTTGTGGCTGGGTTGGGCTAGGCTTCTAGCACTCCTCCCAAAGCTTGGCCCACAATTATAACCGGGCTTAAAAACATGTACAGCCCAGCCCTATGGGCCAACACTGTAGTCTCAAACTTTTAAATTATGAGCGGGCTTTGTGGGCCGATGAGCACCTCCAAGTCAAATGTATGTTTTCATATTTGCTAGTTCACCAGACTCCAGCTGAAATAGTGTGATTTAAACTAAATGGATTAAAACATTTCCCAGTTATCTGTGGTTAGATATGCAAATCTTGTTATACTAAGCCACTATATCCAGAGCCCTAATATATGTTTAACAGTTTAAGTAATGGTTTGTGTAATTCTCTGTAAATCAACCCACTTCCTTTCTGTCTTGTTGATTTTCGCTGAGCAACTTGTTACTTGAACTTGTGTTGGACGCTGATGAATAAGGAAACATGACTGTTTGCAAGTATGTCTGAACCAATGCACCACAAGGATAATAGTGTGAAATGTCTGTCTTAACATAGACAGTTGATGGCTTGGTTTATCTGCATATTCATTTTCCATGCTTTTGTTTTCTGTTTTCTGTTTTCTGTTTTCTGTTTTTGTTTTTGTTTTTTCTCTTATGTTTTCTTTCTCCTTGTTGCCATTTCTCATTTAACATTCGTATATGGCATTAATTTATTTGCATCAACGTTCACTTAAAATTGCATCAGGTTGATTTTTGAAGGTATTGAAAACCAAACAATGTCTTAGAACATGTGACTTATTTTATTCATGGACTGTAATTCTTTTGAATTTATTGCTGTGCTGAATTTCCAGTTAGAATTCTTTTTGTTTTTTTTTGGGAAAATTACAAAAAAAATCTCAGGATTTTGACCCTTGTAACAAAATAAACATTGAATTTTTAATTTTGTCAATTTAAACCATAATCTTTTGATTTGTTTTCAATCTAAACCATTCAAGTAGTTCCATTAAGTAAAATTGACGGAAAAATGATATTTCAGCCCTTAAATTCAATGTAGATGTATATAAAATGTCTAAAATACTCTTTTTAGTTGAGTTTAATGATTAATATACCATTTTTTTTGTCGGTTTTACTTAACAAGAAAAGGTAGATGGTTTAGATTGAAAATAACTAAAAAGATTAGGATTTAAATTGACAAAATAGAAAACTCAGGGTTTATTTTGTTACAAGTGTCATGGGGTTTTTTTTTTCCGTAATCCCCCCCCCCCTCCCCCCCTTTTTAATAAAAAATTCTGCTTATCATTATTTTTTTTTAGTGTAAAGAAAAAAACTTTCGGTGCTTCAGTGTCATGATTAACAACTGTAACAAGTATAAAAAGTTTATAGGACTATTTGTATCATATTTAATAATTAACCAGTTCTATGTCCCATTTTGTACGGAATTGTAAGATTCTGAATTATTTTGCATTTCATGTTACTTTCAGGTTTATATTTGATGCGATGCATGCAGTTACGGGTGCTTACGCAAAACCCATCTTTGTGGACAAGCTAGGAGCCAGTCCAGTATGTTTTGCTTCTGTAAAGTGTTGCAGTAATCATAATGTAAATTGAAGTTTGTTAAGGTAGATATTTGGCACTTACCTGTAGGAATCCATTTCAAATGGAGTGCCTCTTGAAGATTTTGGGCATGGTCATCCAGATCCAAATCTCACGTAAGAAAGTGATATTCCCCTTGTGTAGATGGGATATATCATGTTATTACAACTTTACATAATAGTATTCACTTTACTTGTTTTGTGAAACAGTTATGCCAAGGATTTGGTTGACATTATGTATGGAGAGAATGGACCTGATTTGGGAGCTGCAAGTGATGGTATGTTAGATGAGTTGGAACTTGCTTTTAACTGATAAACAATGAGAATATTATTGATATATTAGAAATGTACAGGGAAATACTATTTATATTAGATTATAGCTAGCTAATCCCGACAAATCAGGAATGAGATTCTTAGAATACAATCCCTATAAATCAGGGATTTGACTAATCTAAATACAAATTCAAAAATTCATAGCTTGGCCATATCACACACAGATCTAACCTGGTTATCTTTGACACTCCCCCTTAAGCTGGTGAGTGGATATTATCCATTCTCAGCTTGCCAACAATAGTCCGAAAGATTGAACCGTTTAACCCTTTAGTTAGCACATCAGGCACTTGATCGCCTAGTGATACAAACGGTGTGCAGATTAGTCCACTGTCTAGCTTTTCTTTTATGAAGTGTTTGTCAACTTCAATGTGTTTGGTTCGATCATGTTGCACAAGATTATGTGCAATGTTTATTGTTGACTTGTTATCTCAATAAAGCTTCATAGGTCCTTCCCACGCGACTTTGAGATCTTCTAAAATTATTTTCAGCCACAGAAGTTCACGAACTCCTAATGCCATTGCTGTGAATTCAGCTTCTGCACTTGATCTAGCAACCACAGTTTGCTTCTTGCTTCTCCATGTTATAAGGCTTCCTCCAAGGAAAGTACAATAGCCTAATGTTGATCTTCTATCATCAATAGATCCTGCATAGTTTGCATTTGTATAGGCTTCTAGTGTTAACTTTCCTCCTTTCTTGAACAATATTCCTCTTCCCAAAGTTCCCTTGAGATACTATAAAATCTGATGTACTATTAAAATATTTCCTTATTTTCTTATTTAGATTAGATTGTGATTGATTAATCAGTCAATCAATCAATCAATATCAAAAGTGATTCCTTAATCAGTATCTTAGGACTTCCTTTTGTAACAGTTCATTGATTAATATAAAAGGTGGTGATATCATAATCATCACCCACGCTTTGTATTCTCTTAAATTACATGGTATCAGAAGCAAAACCCTAAAAATCGTCACCCACACAGTTGCTGCCACCAACCAGCATCACCTATCACCACCCATCCTGCACCGCTAGTCCCTAAGCCTCTGTCAGAACTAGCCAAGGTCCCACAGAGCTATTTCGGCTTTAGCCGAAGGTCCGTCTGGCCTAGTTTAGGGCTGTCCTAGTCTCTTTTTGTGTATTTCGGCTCCTGTGGATGAGTGTTAGAGGGCTGCCCCATCTTTTGTTGCCCCAAGTTTCTTTCCCTCTACTTTCTTCAACACAGTTTAGTACTTGTTTTGATTGGAGGTTCGCTTTCCAGTATTTAATTTATTTTTCGGGTCCATAGATGACCCATTAATTTGATTGTTATGCTCCCATAGTGGTCTGTATGTGATTTTGCTTGTTCTAGCCCATTTCATTCCTCTTTCCATTCTTATGATTCGTGCAAGATTTTTTGGGTTGAAATTGTAGAGTTCTTATAGCTGACCTAACTAGTGAATCCACTATTACTTCTCACCCATCTAAAGGGAGAGCTCCAATCCAGTTATGACTACTACATCTAAAGACGAAGACAGAGACGAAACACGAGCACAATATACAAGAGACAATGAATCACATGACACAAATTTAGAAATGGGATGTTGAGTACCAGCCCTAACTCCTTGTCTAAGAGTAGTAGGAATATTCAAATCATCAATAACAAGATTGTCAACTATTGGTGGAGAGATAACCAGTAGAAGTAGTCAAAATAGGATCTGGAATCAGCATAAGGGGCGATGATTGACTTGGTGGCACACAAGATGTCTGCTCTTTCTGACGCCGTGAATAAGTCTTACGATCAACCTTGTCCAAACGGCCACCAATATCAGGCTCACCATCAATAGCACTCTGAGGCTCCCCCTCACCACAAATAACAGCTCGTTGACTAGGAAGGAAAAAGGACAACTCATGCTAATATGACAGCATCTCATCTATAATCTTGTCAGTAATACTCTCCTCCTAAAGAGATGATGGAGGAGAAGAAAAAAAGGACTCAGACTCACGGAATGTGACAACCATACCAACATACACTGTACAAGTGTGAGGATCATCGCATTTGTAACCCTTTTGAGTTGTACAATATCCAAGAAAGGCACAATGCACAGCCTTAAGATCAAGCTTCCCACAAGAATGAGAGTGCAAATGAACAAGCGACACTCAAAAACTTGAGGAGGAAGGGAAGAAGTAGATAAGCCACAGGAAGAAGTTCAAGAGGAATGTGGAACTGGAGGACACTAAAAGGCATACGGTTGATAAGACACACAGCCGTAAGAACGTCATATCTCCAAAGTCTTAGGAACATTCATGGTAAACAGGAGAGAACGAGCAACTTCAAAGAGATGACTATTCTTGCGTTTGGCAACTCCAACTCCATTCTGCTGAGCGCCAACACATCTAGTTTGGTAAAGAATGTCACCCTTCAAGATATGCCCGAAAATCACCATCGACATACTCAGTCCCATTATCACTCCGAAGAATTTTGATAGTAGTATTAAAGAAAATGGTCACCATTTTCTGAAAAAGGCGAAAACAAGAAAAGACCTCGCTTTTAGTTCGAAGTATGTAAACCCAAGTAACACAGGAATAACAATTAATAAAAGTAACAAACTACCGATACCTAGAAGAAGACACCACAAGGAAAGGCCCTCACCTATGAAGTACGGGTACTCCAAAAATAATGCCGTATGAGTACCGGGTGCGGGTACGTGTACCGGTACGGCGGTACGCGTATCGGGTACGGCAAAAGAGGGTCCGGTACGCTTGGTTCATTCAGGTACGGCGTGGGTATGCCAAGGCCAATTTTGGGTACGCCAAGGCCAATTTTTTTTTTTTTTTTTCCTGCCCTTGCAGATCAGTAATTTTGATGTTTCTCTGCTGTCCTGTCTGTTTGTATGAATTGTATAAGCATATCAACAAATGATTTTGATGTTTTTAAAAAGCAATTTTAACCAAAAAAAATAAGAAGGCCTATAAAGGGTAGTTCTGTGTATGACTATGCATTATGCTTTTGCTTCAGATCCTCCTAGAATTTCTTTATAAAATCTTTAATCATAACAAACTTTTAAAGTTTATGCACAAAACATTAAAAATTGATACTGTATTAGTTGATTAGTAGAGGTTGGGAATGATACAATTTTATGTATTATACAAATTGCAATTGACAACTTGCCCCACTTGAATTTTTTTTTTTCCTTTGCTGTTGACAATTAACTTTAACTCTTTCTTTGGTCTCCTGTTATTTCTTTGGTCTCACCCTATAAAAATAGCAAATTGATGAGCAAAAAGAAAGATTTTAAAAATAAATTATGATCACAAATTCACAGTGCATAACATGTCAAAGTGAGAGATTTCACAAATATTATTTTTAACGCTTAATGGTTTTAAATTATAGGAAAATGAGTATTATTTTTTTTTAGTTTTGATATTTAATTTTAATTTGTAGGTTAGATCCTTTAACAATAATAATATTTAAAAAAAAAAAAATATCGGCGTACAGCAGCCGTACCCGTATCGTACTTTTTTTGAGTTTTGCCGAATCGGCGTACCCACACTCATACCTGTATGGTACTCGTACTTGCACCCGTGCTTCCTTGGCCCTCACACATCAACATGAACAAACATAAAAGGAAAAACACTTCTTTTATTTATTGAAGGATAACAAGTATGTTTATGCTTAGCAAGTTTACAAGCATCACAAACAAAATTATTCCTAGGATAATCTTGAACTAATGAAGGGAAAAGCCTTTCTAAAATACTAAAAGAAGGATGACCTAAACGACGATGCAACTGATGAAGGAGATAAAGAGAGGAGCCAGTAGTGCATTGAAGAGCTTGGTGGAGGACAACGATAATATAAGAGGGACGGCATCCAAAAAGTACAGTCCACCATGCACTGTACCACTGCCAATCGTTTTCCTTATAGACATAATGAGTAGGGAAAACTGTCAGAGCAATTTGGAGAAGTAGTGAGGCTATTAACAGAAAGGAAGTTAGTTGAAAAATTAGGAACATGAAGCATAGAAGAAAGAGAAAGTAAAGTGGAGCAATGAATTGAATCCTTGCCGAATATAGAGGATAAAATGCCATCAGCCACTCTAACCTTATCCCAGCTAGAACAAGGAACACAAGAATGGAAAAGACTAGAGGCACCTGTCATGTGGTCGGTAGCACTGGAATCAATAATCCTAGAAGTTGACGAGGATGTACTAAGGGCACTAGCAGAAATACTTATGTGTGCAAAATTGAAAGACGTAGAAGTGGAAGTGGAAGTGGAAGGAACTGTGGTAGGTGGGGAATCAAGCTGAGCCATCAAATGTCTGAGAATGTGTAACTCATCTTAGGAAAGAGTACTGGTCATACAAGAAGTACTAGTAGCAATCTCAAACACATGTTCTTGGGGACGAGCAGTACTACCACGGCCACAGCACCAAGTGGGACGACCACTCAGTTTCCAACAGTGCTCTCGATCATGTCTATCTTTCCCATAATATTCACACTTCCAATCGATCTCAATTAACTAGTGTACCCTCACTACTAAACTGAGCTGGACTAGGCCTAGTGTCCCAAGTGGTAGGAGCAACTACCAAAGCAGAATGATCTTGAAAATAGGAATGGACCATAGCACTATGCCGACTCTCCTCTTGCTGGATGAGCATAAGCTTTGTGTAAGGCGGGAAAAGGTGAACGATCCAACACCTGAACGTGAATGTGGTCATACTCCAAATTAATGCTAGCAAGAAAGTCATATACACACTCCTTCACGGTTTGCTAAAACAAAGTGGCATCCTTTGAACACAGCCTAGAAACTATGGTAATAATATAGATCCTGTCACAAACTACTCGACTTAGCATAGTATATCACAAATGATCTATCCTCCTGATCCATCCCCCGAAGCTTCTTCCTTAACTCATACCCTGTGCTCTCGATCATCCTTTGAGCAGTATCCAATAAGAGGAAGCTTTGACTAA